GATGTCACCAACCCTCATGCAATAACACGGGCTGGATTTGCTTTTGGGCTTGCCAGGGTTGGTGGCCCCCACATGTTGTCCGGGCTACATTTCGCGCTAGTAGCGCTTCGCAGGCCTAGGGCCTAGGGATGGCAAAGGGTCGGATAGGGGCCAGGTATGACAATACCATCCCCATCCTCGCTCTCCATCCCCGCTCCCGTCCCCAAACCCATCCTTGTTTAATAGGTTCCAAGGAATCATTGTCCCCATCCCCGTCCCCATCCCTGTCCCCGTCCCCGTCCCCGTTCCCGTCAGGGGACTATCCCCCATATCCGCCTCGAATTCCTTTTTTTTTTTTTTTTGCATGAAAAATATTTATCATACATTTTAACATTAAGTTTCATATTAAATTATCATTTAACACATCCAAATTAACTATAAAATTCAACTCAACTATTCAAAATTACATCAATATGGAATTCTAGAGAAGATTAGGAAGAATTAAGAGAGGGAGGTTAATGTAGGGTTAAAGATAAATATTATAATTATATATATATTTTCTGGGTCGGGTTCGGGGATGGGGATGTCAATACCATTCTCTCCCCATACTCATTGGGGATTTTTAAAGTTCGAAGATCCCTGTATTCGATACCCATTTGACCCCGAAATCTCCCCTCATTAAAGTCTGGGACTTGATAGGGACCCGTCCCGGCTAGAATTTTTGCCATCCCTAACAACCAATGAGCCACGTGAAGGACCATCAGAGGTGGGCCAAGGCTGTCGTCCACTTCCCATGCCACATGCGCCACCTGTCAAGCCCACAACAAATAGCAATCCAATGGCTGTTTTCAAATGGGCTGGTTGCACATATTAATTATTAGTTCTTTTTGTAAGTCATATATGAAACAAATGTGAATGTGTTCTGAAATAGGCAAAATTTATTTTTCTAAAGTTTAAATTATTTTTATGTCAAAATGTTCATAAAAATAAATCTCGGAATAATAAACAAAAATTAACTCAAGAAAAATTAACCAAAAAAATATATAGAGTTAAACCATTCTTTAACAATTTAATAAGGGTGTGGGGTCAAATTTTGAGTCAGACAATATATGAATAGGTGTATTTTGGAGGGTGAAAATTTAAGTTTAGCCCTGAATGAGTTGGAGAATGCCTAAGCATGGGAACAGAGCCAGTCCATTAGATATGGAGGCCTTGTGCAAAGAGAGCTGATGAGGCCCAATATGCATAAGTAAAATAACAATTTTTCAAATTTTTCTTCAGGGATAGAGATTCACCATATTTTTTAGGTTTCTTCTTGAAATTATATGATGGCTAATTCCAAATGCAACACATAATTTCTAAATTATAATATGAGAGAGAGAGAGAGAGAGAGAGAGAGAGAGAGAGAGAGAGAGAGAGAGGTGTGTGATGGAGGAGCAGAGATGCATAACACGCTTTTTGCCTTGCCAAAGAGTAAAGAAGAATTTTTTTTCAGACGAGAGAGTCAAGAAGAAGTTGGGAAGAAGGGACCAAATGAAAGAAAAGCGATTTGGGAATAGCAAGGAGAGCACGTCGCACACACCCATCACTCACGAGTATTTTTTTTTAATTTGTTAATGCTTGGAACAAAAAAATGCATGTTAGGAACAAAAAATAATGTTTTGGAATAAAAATTTACTTAAAACGAAAAGTAGCAGAAAATATACAATATAATGCTGGGCTTTTAAAAACATTTGGAGGCCCTGTGCGGTCGCACAGCCCGCACATGCCATGACCCGGCTTTGCATGGGAACATCTAATATTTAAGTTTCAGATTTTGCCATTAAAATGTTTCGGTAGCTTCTCACTAGCTTTGTCTCTGGCAACGCAAATATCAAGGCTGGTCTACACAAATGCGGGTCATGCCATTTTGGTGTATCCACTTGTTATGGCGGCGCATCCATGAAAAGCAAAGCAGCCCAGTTTGTTGTGGGGCTCTCCAATGGCGAGTCCATGTCCTTGAGCGTCTGGAAGATGAAGATAAATGGGGTATTTTTGCCGTTGGTTGACTTGGCAGCAAGTTGGAGAGCTGCGAGCCTGTGGAATCCGAGGGCATCGTCCTTGGCGTCTGTTCTCTAGATAATATAGGCCTAAACATAATAATAACTCATCTCTAGATAATGTATGCAATGTAGTTTAGGCATTTGCGGCAGCAAATTTTATAAATCTAAAATCAATAATGTTATGGGTCCTCAACAAAATAAATTCAGAAGTTTCTTGGAAAATTTGCAGCCATTATTTCTTTTAAGTTTCAAGTATTCTTTCTTGCGCACTTGGTCTCTCTCTATGATGATCTTGACCACATTTCAACAGTCATTTTTGAGCCAAAACTCACCAATCTCTCTTTCACAATTTCATTCTGGTCGAGCCAAAAATTATAGACGACAAAGAAGAAAAGAGTGGAGACGATTGATCGGGATCATTAGTTATAAGTTTAGGCTCGAGTGGGATTGAATCTCTAAGAGAAATTAAAGATAACCCAATACATGATCTGATCTGCAACTAAGAAGTAATCAGAGGGCATCCATTATTAATGTCAATCTACAAGCAGGGGAACCTATGAGGGTTCATGAAATGCATATTTACTTGAGTTACACATTACGGTCAATTTGACGAGAATTTAATTGCTGGATGTCTCAAAGGAGAATACATCTTCAAGCATCTACCTTTGCTGCCGCAGATGCATAACTTACGCTGCTGTCCCTCATAGTTTTGCACTGACTGGACTGCTTATATCGGAGAAAATTGATCTCTATGCTCGTTGAACAGTTCTTCAGCATCTGAATGCATTGAAATATGATTGAAAGGGACGAAATAATGACCAAAACCAATATTCTAGATGCAGTTAACTGAAGAACTGGAGTCCAAGTTATGAGCAATGAAAAAAAAAAACCATTTTGCAGTCTAGGTAAACTAAGTTTAATTCTTCAAAAAAACATTTCTCCCTCAGATTTTCCCCCTCAACCTGATTTGATGTCTTCAATATAGTCACTAAAACCCTAGCTTGATGTATTTGCAGAGATGCCAGACCCGCCAGGAAAAAAGAAATCCAAAATAAAAAAACGCCATTCAAGTTTTCGAAACATCGGCCGCCTAGGCGGGCTAGGCGGCTACCCCTCTTTTTTTTTTTTCTCTTATAGTATAGCCGAGCGGCTATACTCCTTAAATAATAAGCGTATAGCCGCTCGGCTGTACGCCTCAAATAATATATTTAAACAGCATACACAGAGAATGCATCTAACATAGTCTCTGAATATGGGCTATGTTTCTTCAACCACCACAACTACAACCAAACACACAGAATACAGATTGCTTTCAAAAATAAAAAACAAAGAAAATTTGAAAGCATAAGCAAAAGCATGCCATGTCCAAAAATCCTATGTGCTGTATCAAATACAAAATACTTCTCTACATGTCTTTAACAGATGAATGTATCCCTCCTTCAAGAACTATGCCACTAAAATAAACTCATGAACACAGACAATCTCATTGTTTCAATCAGGTAGGTCCTAAAATGAAGGAGCTAAAAGAAAGCTAATCCACAATGCTTGACAGCAGTAGTGGGAAATCACTTCAAAAGCCTCAAGACATGGATTCATACCATTAGCATCTTACCGGCTCTTAATTCATTGATATAGAGAACTGGAAAATAATCACTTAAAAATTGATACGTAAGTACTTACAAATGCAGTTGCCTTCCCCTTGCTGTTTCGATAGCCTCTGGATCTGCAAAATGTAATCAAACCAGAGAACACTACACAAAGTTTATTCCAAAGAAAGCTTAATCATTTTCACAAGGAAACTCACACTAAATAGTAAACAAGACTGCATCCCTTGGAGCATGAAGAGCTACATGAAGCACTGATCTATTTTCTGTGCTGTTTATCAGATCTCATCTCTATAACCTGGTTCCCTGTCCTTTAATGGCTTCGTCACTCCATGGGTGGCTACTGCTTGTATCTTGGGTCTAATTTAATTTCATGGAGTTCTAAAAAGCAAGGAGGTGTTTCTCACTCCAGCACCGAAGTGATTGAGTAGCAAGCCATTTGAAGAGCCCAGAAAAATGAAAAGAAAAGAAAACAGAGGTCATCTGATTGAATAGTTTTAATAACATGGATGTGGATTGAAGTGCACGTTTGAGAAGTAGTTGTGCAATGTGCAGAGCAGGACCCAACACTTGAGCAATTAAATTTATGTGGAGCCAACAGATAATTTCTTGAATTTGACCATCAAAAATATAAGGGAGTTTCACTAAAACACCCAAAATGGAGGTTGAAATTATAAAAAAACCCAACACCCAAAACACTTTATAAACACACCCAAAACCCATCATTACACACACTCAAAACTCATTTATAAACACACCCAAAAAGTTGACTTTGGGGTTGATTTTGGGTGTGTTTCTATGTTTAAATAGTGCTTGGGTTTTTTTATAAATACATGTCTAGGATTGGGTTTATTTATAAATTTGTATAAATATAAATGCTGTTGCTGTATTCCTCTTCTATCCCATTCACATGCAATCCATGTGTCACCCATGCTTTTAAAAAAAGAAGTTATTGGATTCTCTTAGTTTCAGAATTGGCATTTGGCCCTGCTCTGCATTTTTATTATCTCAGGGCAAAGATATATTGCTACTAACGAGGTTTTTTTCCTACCTTATGGCATGGCAACATATCATGGACTTTTAATGTTGCACCTTCATGCATGCATTGTTCGTAAAAAATGCAGAAAAAAAAATTCAGACAAATTGTTTACTTTTTCTTCTTATAATATGAGAGAAATTAGAGTCCAATTTTATTGTGAATTTATGGGTAGTTGGCTAGTTGGTTGCTACTTCAATTAAGAAGATTTAAGGGTCTTTAGCTAGAGAAATTTGTATATATTCCGGATACACCACATGGTTGGGACGTTCATGGACTTTGCAGATTTTTTTTGTTAATTGGACCTGCCAGATTGTTTTGGGCCTTATGAATTCATTCTTCCATTCGAATGAGATTCTGCAATTGATCGCTTTTGAATATTTTGTTTAACAAACCAAATTAAACAAATGGGAAGCAAACAAATTGTATGATGGATGGATTAATTTCCTAGCTTTTTCCCTCTTAACTTTCCAAGCTCTACAAGCAGAGTTAAAATGGCCTCTCACATTTCTGAGGCATCAGCATCACTAGGATTCTTTTTCCTTGTGGAATAAACCATCCAGGCATGGTCAAGCTTCCTGTCCGGTGCGACCACAACCGAACCTGGAACTTGAGCGTCACGGCACGTCACCAATCTGTCACTCTTCTCCCCGTACCTGCGTTGTAGATGAAGTGCAGTCACAGCCATTGCAGCAGATAAAGGAATCACTACAGGCAGCTGGCGTCCTGCTTGAACGATTTCATCTGACTCTTCCTGAGTTCCAAAATTTGGTAGGGGCAGCCAGGGAAGTTCGGCATGTGCTATATGTGTCATTGTGGCAAACATATCAGGGGCTATGCTTGCCTCAGAGTGGAAGGAAACCAGAGGAATTTGCTCATATGGCAGCTTGTGCTTCATGATGAACTCCTTTCGCTTCTCATAAGTAAGATCCTCCAGTGCCTGAATGTCACCCTACAATGCAAATATGAATTGAGATGTTTCCAAACACAACTTATAATTCTCCACTTGTTTAGTACATACACAAAGGACTTTCATCAAGCTCAGGCATTGGTGCTATTACCTTAATTAGCTTGCATATCAAAAGTTCCATGATCCTGCGGGTTTCTTTGTCTGCAATCTGGCCTTCACGAAGAATATCAGAAGCCAAGGGCGTGCTACCGTAGGGGCTCTGGACCAGTGCTAAACCAGCAACTTTGTCTTTCAAATCACACCAGTAGATTGACAATGCAGCTGCAGCATCAACGCCGCCCTTGCTGTGCCCCAGCAGCATCACACGCTTACTGGATCCCCATTAAAGCTCCTCAATGTACTGCTTGAGTTACCGATGCATTGTGCTCAACAGATGCCTTCATCCAAGAAAACATATGAAAAGGGAAGACAAATTTCACAAAACCCAGTCAGCAATGATCACAGAGTAATGACTCATTACCTCACTGTGAATTTTTGCAATATGGCAAGCTAGACCCATCTTCAAAAAGAATTTCTTTGTTCCAACAAAGTATAAGGGGCCGTGATTGCTAAAGAGGCCTGGAAAATCAAAGTTCCCATAACTATAGGTGCCACAATGCTAAATGTCGATTGAACAGGGGAGAAGAACAAAGTCCAAAGGGAAAAATAAATTTTCTTTACCCGGAATAAGCAGATAGACAAATGAGCTAGGCAATGTGTGCTCCCCATTCCTGAAGTATATAGCATGACATACAAGCAATAGGAATGTACAAGAATAGACTAAACAGATATGATAACGAAATTAAACACAGTTCCTTAACAGGTCCAACCATCTAGTGCAGTCGAGCTATTATATTAGCTTGGTACCTTATTCCTGCAAGCAATTCCAAGAATCTTGCTGTACCATCCACCACACCAGGCATGCCAGGAGTGCGCGGCAACCATCCAATATTGTCAGATGAACCTTGCAATGTTTTCTGTACTCGAGATGCCAGGCTGACAAATGCAAAAATGAAGCTCAACTATAAGCACCTAAAAGAATGAAACAACGACTTGTAATTAAAAGCAATGAATTATTTGCACTGAGTAAAACAGAATCCAATCTGAACTAAAACTAAAAGAAACTATTCATAGACTATGGAATACGAGTCCATCAGTTTGCATAATTGAAATATACTTCTTTTACCTACAAATTCGAAGATGAGCACATCTAACGTACACGACAGAACTTCTCCAACACGAAATTGCCAATCTCCAAGCAAATTGTAAACCGTGTAATGGTAGTGTCAACCTACATCAAGATGAAGCAACATCACCAATCTAACGATGGAGACGACTTGATTGAGATTTGAGAAATGCAAAACAGTTACAGTAAGTCATACTTCTGATAAACACTTGTAATTAGAAAGGGAAGGAGGTGAAAAAGATTAAATATTACAATTAATCATTCAGTTCACTTAAAAGTAGATGGGCTCATGATGTTTTCTCATGAAAACTAGATTAGTTGCCTGACCTCAGTTTTTTAATGCGTACTCAAGTCTTCAAAGATTGATATTGAAGAACGCTAATAGCAAAAACTGGTACTACCCTTTAAAAATGAAGGGGACATCTGTATAATTGAAATTGGTTTCTACAATTTCAGATCTTGTATCTTCCGTAGGCTCTGAGGATCTTCTTTCACAGGTTTCAGGGTTACAAGGTTTTGAAGATGATGAACAACCTTCAGCAAATGATTTACAAATGCCGTGTCTCAATGATCTTAAATGCTGTCCAGCAGAAATGACCAGCAAATCATCTGAGTATCTCTCAGCATCTCTGACTGCAAGATCCTCTGCAATAACATCATTTCCAAATCCATCCATAACATTATAAGAAGATGCATGAGTGTGCATACATGTAAGAATAGTAGAAAGAACCTCACCTATAAATTGAATAAATCGACGCCTTATATAACTAGCCAGTGTCAATAGACGGGTGAAAATGTCATCCATTGATGAGTAGAATCCCAGACTATACAAGGACCTATATTAGATCTTTAAGCACAAGGTCTGAATCATAACTGACAAAACTAAAGATGCCAAATTGAAACTTCAAACCCCCATAACCTTATTCCTTATGTGGGATAACATAAAAAAGAAATAAAAAAATCGATAAGCTAATTATAATTTCTTAGCTAATCTTGATCAAGAATAAGAAAGTTACAAAAGAGAAGAGATACAACAAACATACAGAAAAAGTAGAGATAATTTACAATAATGCACAATCGTAAAGTTGAAAAGTACTCGCTGCGAGGCATTTCAGATATTTCATTTTCAATATAGACATCACCCATTAATTCTTCGAATCCTGAATTATGCAACAAAACTATTAAGGTGATACTACTCAAAAGGACGAAACTTTGACACAATCAGTTTATAACAATAAGAACCCAGATGAGTAAATCAATCATATGATGAGAAAAACACAACAAATCAACCCCATTCTTTCAACATACTGAACTTAAGTAACTCATCATCAAAACAAAATGTAATAAAGATATCAGATGGCAACTTACAGTCAAAGAAGGACAATCTGCAGAACCCAGAAACAGCCTGTGGCTCAGCAGAAGCAAAGCCACTTTAATTTATAGAGGGAAGAAGAGAAGGAAGAAAAATCTGCAGACCCAATTTCCAAAGAAGTTTAAACTTGCTAAACATGAGCTGCCATAATTTTGAATCCCATCAATAGACTAAAAGAAAATGAAGTGAAAGAAATAGACTAAAAGAAAGTGGCTGCAGAAATGTGTCTGCAATGACACAATATTGCTGGGGTCAAAAGGCGGTGCATCTGATACAGTTCTTGCTCGAAATATCGGCTTCAATGAAGAAAATGGTACAGGTACCTGGGAAAAATGCGACAGACCCACCCTGGCACACAGACCCTAAACCCTAAAGAACCAGACCCACCCTGGCACCCAGACCCGCCTAGCGCCACTTAGCGCCGCCTAGACCCGCCTAGCGCGCCTAGACCTTCCTAGTGCAGCCGAGACCCTCCTAGCGCCACCCTGACCCGCCCAGGCCGCCTAGGCCAATTTTTTAAACCTATCCCGATGACTACTCTTCGGCACAGGTCTATCCCGGCGAAATTTGCAGGATTAGATCTCTCCCGACGAATGTTCGTCGGCAGAGGTGAATTTCGTCGGAAGAGGTCCTATTTAGCAAATTTTGCCGAGATATACCTGTGTGGACGAACATTCGTCTAGAGAGGTTTTCTCGCTTTTTTCAAAAAGAAAAAAAAAATAATTTGAATTTTCAACATATAAAATTAGTTTTCTTACTTTTTTTTTTGCCAACTTCATTAGTTGAATATATGTAATTAAGTAATATCTTAACTTTTCTTAATTACAGTAATTAATAACTAGCCTCTCCGCATGCGCTTTTGCGCATGCGTGAGGCGTTTTTTACGTGAGGCTTTTTTTAATTTAAATTTTATTTTAGAATAAAAAAAATAACGAGTAGTTGTGTTTCATAAAAATATGATTCATTATCTGATTTTTCTTTTAATTTTAATTTTTTAATATGAAAAAAGTGTGAATTTACTATATTATCCTCATTTAATTAATAATTTCAATTCTTAATATTTGCATTAACCAAGGGTATTTTTTGGTATTTTGAATGTTTCACCGTTCTGTGCATTTTGCTTTATATATATAGATTATGTTTTAAGTATTATTTCTTTGGTAAATATTTAAATATTTTAATCATTTCATAAATGACTTAATAAATAGTAATTAATTATTTTAAATTATTTTGTGGACTTTTTTTATAAAAAAAAACAAAATTTATACAAAATTAGTTTGTGCACGTTATGGGCATTCTGCGTTAGATTGCTACAATCGTCTCAACTTGTCGTATGTAGGTCGGGTGCCTTCTTGCTTGTTTTTTTTTTTAAAAAAAAAAACGTTTAGTATAGCCGCTCGGCTATACGTGTTTTCACACGTGGACGCCTAGCCGCTAGGCGTTCCATTATAGCCGCACGACTATACTCGGGTAAATTTTTTCTTTTTAAAATAGTTTGGGTTTTGTATTATGTAAATTTTAAAAAATATAGTATAGCCGAACGGCTATACGCTTAACAGCTTAAGGCTGTATCCTCTCGTTGTTGCGGCACATCCATCTGAACCCAATCACTTTGCAGAAGGACTTAGAGATGGTGGAGTGCATGTACTTAAGCCTTTAGAATCAGAAGGAAGATGGGCACTTCCCCTCCGATTGAGAATGGTGCTGGGTAGAGCACCACTTCTGGAGCAGCGTTCAGATCAACACCAAGGTGACATTTCCATGTGCATGACTCCCAATGAAATGAGGATTTTGAGTGTATCTCTTCTGTGTGTGATCCCTTCTCCTAGTCACACCATAGTTTATTTATTTATTGAGGGGAAGCTGCAGATTTAGGTATTTATAGTTTTAGAATACTCGAATTAACCATGTAGAATTTGTTATAGTAGCATTTGAAGGTGAGGCAATTTCCCCTCATTTAGGATAATTGGAGAAGTGATGGAACTATAGTTGTAAGTTTTGAAGACAACGCAGCACCACTGGGAAAAAGGTTGAGATCAGACAATGAGGAATTCAGCAAAAGATTTTAGTTGCTTTGATTGGTTTGTGTCTAAACTGTTTTATCCCTTTTTTCTCGTTCATAGACACGATTACTCATTTATTTTCTCCACTCTTTAGTTAATCTCAGGTGTTAATTAGAAATCTGCTTTTTGCATCTCTTTAGTTAATCTCAAGTATTAAAATTTTAAGAAATTTTTTCTTTCTGAAAGTTATAATCAACTGGAACGAAAGTGGTTTAGTTTCCCTTACTTAGTAGATAATTCTCAACAAAAAATACAAAACAATTTATCATTATTGGTGCATGAAATACAAAGATTTTAAAATGGAAATGGTAACTTCTTTCTCTATCTCTTCACAGTATTTACTGACCATTTAGTCATCTCACAACATTTGGGTCTTTTTAATTTTCGTTATTCTTTCTTCTTGCGGAAAAAATGTGTCCTCGTCTATGAGAAAAATTGTACTCCGGTTCCGTAGGCCGTGGTCATTGATTGACCACTCCTCATTGAGCATGTTGCCCTCAAACACGAAGTGATACATCATACCTTTGTGGCACAGTAATGAATCCTTTTTTCATAGGATTCCAAACAACTGAAATTAGAAAATCCTCCAATACAAGGCTTACAATATTACTATTGTTTGTTTTTTGACTGAAAAACTAATATTTTTTCTTCCAAAAGGAAAATTAATTTTCATTGATTTACATATATAGTCATCCACATTCTGAGGAATGATGTTTTAGTTTCCTGCAATATTTTCATGTTTATGTACTATACCATTTTTTTTATAGAATGTAAAAGGTGAAGTAGCATTGGGTGTTGTGAAAATGCGTTGCATTCTCAAGAGACAGATGCAGTAACATTTATGTTGGGAAAACTAATTTAAACATATAGTTGGGAACTAGACATGATACTGTTTTTCATCCAACATTTGTGTACATTTTAGTTTCATGAGAAAAATATTTTTCTTCTGCTTGAGTTCACGAGAAAAAGGTTAATACGACATAAAATATTCCTCCTTTTTTTTCAAGTATTGCCATGCTGAACGTTCAATGTGAAGGAGGTTGGTGCTCTTGAGGAGAAGGTGGTTGATCTTGGCATGGATGAGGTCTGAAATATTCCTTCTACATTTCCCATTTTTCTATATACAAAATTTTGGCTTGTCAATTTTACTTTACCATATAATCGGGCAACTTCGGTTCACTTGCATGTCATAATATATGTAATTTTCTTCACTTCTATCTGCATAAATCATTTCCTGTTTAGATTTAATCTATAATTAACATGTTCGATTAATGTTAATATATCTCACTCACTTTGCCTCAATGCCCCCCTCCAAATCCAAACCCAAAACCAAATCAATCTCTATTTCTCCAGTTAGTTTGAAGCTCCCCATCTACAAAAAGCATTAAAAAAAAAGTTCTCTTCGCCGAAGCTGGCAAGGATTTTGTTCACTTTCTCTTCACCCTTCTATCTCTACCCGTCGGCACTGTGATCAAGCTCCTCTCTAGGAAACGCACGGTCGGTTGTTTAGGCAAACTCTAAAGCAGCTTAGAGAACTTAAACAATGCATACTTGCAACCCAACCTCAACAAGGATGTCCTTCTAAAACCTAAGAAGCTGACAATGCCAATTGGTGGCGCCCATCAACTTCTTCCTGCATTGACCAACGGTGAATCAACACGTGTCGGTCATGTTAGCCGTCAAGCTACTCCTACTCTGGCGAGGTATGCTATGTGGTTAACAACCCTAAGGCCATTTGTCCAAAGTGCCATAACTTCATTTCCAAACCCCACGACTTATGTTGCTCCACATGCAATTGCAACTGGCGGCAAGGGAGGTGGGTTTGTGAGAGAGGCTATGACTTACATGATAACGGATGATATGGAAGTGAAGCCTATGTCTGCCATTTCAAGTATCGCTCTGTTTAAAAACTTCGATGTTAGGGATGTTCGTTCACTTGAAGAGATTGTGGTTTCTCTCGATAAGGATAAGGTTTGTGTTTATTAATATTTTCTAACGTGATAAATTACCATTCTATATATTCAAATATTGCAGTTGATATTCTATAAGAATTTATGATGAAGGGCATTTTTGTTTAATTACCTTGTTAGGGTTTGAAATTGTTGAAAGGTATTGTTGCGGTCAAATGCAGTTATGAAGAATGTGTTCCTTTAAGCAGCATTTCAAGTTGACATTTTGAAGCTTCTTTTGGAATGTTTTTTTTTTTTTTTTTAAATATGGATGACGTATCCTTTGTTTTACAATATTAATTGGCTGAATGAATTGGATTGGGTACGTATTGGACCTCAAACTAATACAAAGAGATCAAATTCGTCTGCTTTCTTTTTCTCTCTTGAAAAAGCAATGAGGTTTTTTCACTTAAAAAAGCAATGATGTCATCACTTGGGAACGGCAATTCTCGAGCAACATCAAATTAATTGATCTTCATAATTGCATATCTATACCTATATTAAACTCATATCAAATTAATTGATCTTCATAATTTCATATCTAAACCCATATTAAAAGAGTACATCCCAGCGGTTATACTCCTTTTTTTTCTTCATGAAATTAATAGTATAGCCGGGTGGTGATAATCCATTTTTAAAATTTTTTATTCCAATGAATAATATAACCGGGCGGCTATACTGGTTAAATATAATATATAAAAATAGTATGGCCACGCCTCTATACAGTTATTTTTGGTTTTTTTTCGAAATTAATAGTCTAGCCGAACGGCTATACTTTTCAAATATAAAAATTAGGTCAGATATCTTCTTCTTCCCAGCGTCGCCTTCTCTCTCTCTCTCTCTCCGTCTTTCTTCCTAACAAGCAGCGGATCCTGCGCACTTCAAACGCCCTTCGTCCACGCCTCAAAGGCAAAATGCCAGCCCAGACCCTCCTAGAGCCGCCTAGGCCGCCTAGAGCCACCTAGACCTTCCTTGAGTGCCAAGGGGAGCCTAGGGCCGCCTAGGGCAGCCTAGGCGGGCGCCCTGACACCGCTAGCTCCCTGGCGCCTACCCCTGGATGCCACATCGTAGAAGGGTACCTCTTGGTGTACCGGAACTGACTTAAGTTGGTTCGAAATTGAAAGATAATGAGCTTTTGGTTGGCGTGGAATTAGGATTACACTGTTTTCACAGCATTGTGGCAGGTCACTAGTGAATCAACCTTCCTAGTCTGATGATCTTGTACTGAAATACTAACTAATAGGGTGCATGCAACCTTAGGTCATTTCACTTGATTTTGTTCCATCTCCTGCATTTAAACATGTTTTTGCTTTTGCACTTTTTATCTTTGAAGTTGCTGAATCACTTGCCATATGGAACCAGACCTTATGTGCTATTATTTTGGGCCAGCTGCAGTAGGTGCCCCTTGAAAAGTCTATAATGCCTCCATTTATATTAAAAATCCCCAATTAGAAGTGAATTTTGATTGGATGGTAGTGTCTGATACTGCTAGCAAATCATCAAAACCGAAACCAGGTAATATAAAAAGAGTTGAGGTAAATGAATTGAGAAATGCTAACGTTGTCTTGGAAAAAGTTCCATTTGAAAATGCTTCATAATATTTTCATTGATGTCATCTTTCCTAA